GGCACAAGTGTCACTGTGATGTGAGGAGAGGGGCCCTCGTGCCTGGAATTATGGAGCCTGCCTCATTTCAGCACCGAGTTGTGTCGGTTGTATCAGCAGTGGGGCACAGGGGTTTTCTTGCCATGGGGATTGTCAGCACTCTGGGGCCCTGCATGACTCAATCTCCAGGGCGTAGTGAGGGGTGAGTGCTGCAATGTCTCCATGGGACCCTTCAGGGGAAGTGGTGAAGGGCTGGGACCACCACGCTGGTCTAGGTGGGTTGTGTGCAGTCGGTTCAGAGGTGGAGTCTGGCCCCTCCCGGCCGCTGGGCCTGACTGAAGCAGCAGACAAACGTCGAACAAGATCCAGTGGCTGGAAGTGGAATTTACACCCATTGAGTTGGGAAAGAAGGTGTCAGGTTTAACCATGAGGGGAATTAACCATTGGAGCAGCTCACCATGGGCCATGGTGGATTCTCCATCTCTGGTAATTTTTATCTCAAGACTGGCTGGTTTTCTAAAAGATCTGTTCTGGTTCCAACAGGGATTATTTGGGGCAGTTCTCTGGCCCGTGCTACATGGGAGATCAGACTAGATTATTGCAAAAGTCCCTTCTGGCCTGGGAATCTATGACTCTAAACCCGAGTTTTGCCTTGGCAAAGGGAAGGTGAGGGGCCTGGCCCCCTAGTGCTCATGTGCTCTGCGCCCAGCGCTCTGTAGTGTCTGTAAGGACCAGTGTGTGTTCCTGGTGTGCTGGGGCATGGCTGAAAGAGGGCAGAGTTAAGGTTGTGAGGGTGTTTGCCTTAACTGTATTTCATGGATTTCAGATGCCTAAGTGTAGCCGCTCTCCACGTTCAGGAAGGGCAGGAAGCAGCACTGGGAAATCTTAACGCTTCATTAAGGAAGTTGATGGAATAACCCAGCTTCCATTGTTCACGCTCAGTTCCATTGTTGAGGAGACATGATTACATTTTCCTTTACTGTCTTTCATTGGCCGTCTGTTTAATCCATGCTGATTCCCTTGACCACACCACTGACGCAAATTCGGAGCATTCATGTGGCTTTAGAACACTTTCAAATATGGTTCTTCAGCTGGAAATTTTGATCTCAGGGCAAAAAAATCCAAAAGGAGACACTGCAGAATGACAGGAACGTTAGCCAATCATAGGGATCAAACCCACAGGGCACGGGACCAATTCAGGGTGAATGGTAACCCGCTGTCACCTTGACCCACATAAGTACCCTCTTGCTTCAAAAGAGCCCTAGATCTTGATGCTCATTTCAATCTCTTTGGCTCAGCAGTTTGGCATGTGCCATTCTAGGCATCCAGTGTCTAAGATTAATAATCTTTTGAATACTTCTTCCCCAGAGGGGCAGTGGGTGCCGTGCACTAGCAGAGATAAACATCATGTTAGTTAGATCAGTTTGGGACGGTTCAGAGTCACTTTTTGAGCTTCAGGTGTGTGCAAAAAAGAACTGGTGATTTTGCTGTTTAACTGGGGGGCTGTATCTCAGGAACCCCTTGTTCAAGTGACCCCAAATTTGGACCACTAATCCGAACCTGCGTCCCCATGAGGAATTCCTAATTTCATGGCAATCTGAGTCAGCACGTGGACCGCAGGGCAGGCAGAAAACCCAACCTCTAACTAGGAAGCTCCGCTCAACCTGAACCACAGAGGAGCTCCAGCTCTCCTACAATGTCACATGTTGAGCCAGTTACAACCCAGGGTCAGTTCTTCTCCCTTATCTGATGGGAATGTGGACATGGGCTCAGATCCATACTAGTTCTCCGCACAGCCATGGCTCACCCCAATGGCGTAGCGGATGATTCCAGCTCTCTCAGCCTCGGGGATGGCGTCTGAATAAGAAAGCGGGTCTTTGTATTTCTCCCCATCTGTGATCACAATGAGAATCTTGGTGGCCTCATCTCGAGCGCCTCTCCCAGAGGTGAACAGCTCCCGGCTGGAAAAGGGGGGTGGGGAAGACATGGGAGGGTTATTGATACATAACAACACCTAGCGCTCGTCCACTGCTTTGGCATTGCCGATCTCAAAGTCCTTTACAAAGGAGGTCAGTGTCCCCATTTTACTGATGGGAAACTGAGGCACGGGGCGGGGACATGACTTGCTTAAAGTCACACAGCAACAGAGGGTCAGAGCTGTCAAAAGAACGCTTGAGTCCCATCTCCAAGTCCCCTCTCCCGCCGCTTCAACCTACTAGTCCCCAGTCCCCTCCTACAGCTGGTGATAGAACCCAGGAGTCCTAGTCCCTGTCCCTTAGCTTGTATGTCCTTACAGCCCATTTCCTATGGAATCAGCATGGGGAGGAGGGCAACACCTACACCACTTTCTGGATGGCGGTCGCCGTGTGCGTCGCTCCCATGAGTTGTTGGACCGACGTGAGGAGGCGATCGGGGTCGCGACTCCTTCTGTACTGTAAGAAGTCGAAATGCTCTCTAAATTTGTTCGAGTACTGCATGAGGGCGAACTGCAGGAGACAGGGGAGAAGAGAGAAAAACAACCCCGGGGTGGAGGGTAAGAAAAGAGGGAATTAAACTCAGTTAAGGGCTGGGGCAGGTGGTCAGGATGTAGCTGGTTCTGCCGGAATTTTTTCCTGGTTTTGGATGCAAAATCTATTGCTGCGCCCTGCAGCACAGCGCCCCCTAGCGCCGCACTGGGGCATTGGGGTCAGCACTGACTGCGGGGGGCAGGTACGTAGTCAGGGTTCAGCCTCTGCCTGTTACCTGCGTGTCGATGCTGCGGAAACGCTTCATGATCTCGGAGAGAAACGTTTTCATCTTTGTAAAATCCTGACGTGCAATGCTGCCGGAGCTGTCGACAAGGAGCGCTATGTCTGTGGCATGTCTGGGGCACTCTGGGAGGGACAGGAAAGAAATACGTCCTAACTCTACGCCACCAACATGGAGAAAACTCAGTGGAAAGAGCTAGACCAGATCAAAGGGCCCATCTAGCCCGGTTCCCCCCCCCCATGGGTGGCCCCTTGGTGCCGCTCCCGGCTGCCCCATACCTGCCAGCGTGTCCGGGATGCGCTGGCGCTGCTGGAGGCTCTGGTCCAGGAGGAAGCAGTAGCCATTGACGTACATGTTCTCCCCGCAGGCCCGGTGCACTGTGGGGCCGCACACCTGGGCCACGAGAGAGGGACGGGATCACTGGGCGCCCCCTGAGAAGAGCACTGGGGGTGAGGGGAGTCTGCTCCCCCCATGGATATGCAGGAAAAGGCCCCACCAGGGCAGGGACTCCATGGGGCAAACAGGACTCCAGGACCCAGCACCTGCCTCCCAGAGAGAGGATGGGAGACATCACCTAGTTACCACGCTCCCTGCTATGGCCGTGCCCAGTCACTGTCCCCAGAGTGACATCGCCCAATTACCCCCACCCTTCACAATGTCATCGCACAGTCACTGTCCCATGGCGATGTCACCCGGTTACCCCCGTCCCTCACAACATCACGTCTCAGTCACTATGTCCATGGCGATGTTCTCCTCCTCCCTGCTGTTTCAGTGCACCATTCTGTGTCCCACCATCCCCCAGACAAACATCACACCCTCTCCATAGTCACACCATTGTTATCTAGTTACCATCTTCTGCACAAGGCCATGCCCCAGTCATTCTAGTGGTTAGCACCAGGCTACACACGCATTGTCAATCATCCCTCACCATGGTAACAATGCTGTGTTCCATGGTGACATCATCTGGTGACATCATCCGGTGACCACCCTCTACTTGCCATTAGTGCACAGAGCTCTTGTTGTGGGAAGATCACCCACTCCTGTGATATCATCCCATCCCCCCCCCCCCACGCCCCTCGGTGTCACCCAGCCCTGAGCCTCCTGGTGACAGCAGCACACAGGCACTCAAGTCCTGTGGTAACATTACCCATCTGGCATGTGGTGGGTGCACAGTCAGTCAGGGCCTATGATGTCACGGTGCTGACATTTCATCCCGCTACCATTGCTGGGGGGAGGAGAATCCCATGGAATTCCGGGGGACAGGGGCAGAGACTGACCCAACCCCCTGGGTACAACCCACAGACCGTGCCGCTTCCCCACCCCAAGGGGCGGTACCCACCAGAAGATTGGAGCCCCAGGCAGCCAGAGACAATCCGAGGGACATGTTCACGGCATCGGGGGGGCCTGAGAGGAGAAACACGGCAACACCAGGGTGAGAAACCTTGTCACTGGATATGTTGAGTCATTTCACACCCCTTCTGCCTTGTGCATCCCCCCCCACACACACACACTGGGGGGAACTGATGGCAAATGGTTGCATGGAAATTAGAACCCAGGAGTCCTGATTCCCAGCCTCCCCTGCTCTGACCCGCTAGACCCTACTCCCCTTTGAGACTTCGGGATGGAACCCAGGCGTCCTAGCTCCCAGACCCCCTGTGCTAACCCACTGGATCCCACAGCACAGGGTGCCCCTACGCTGGATGTGGATCTCCTGGCAGCGTCTGGAGCCCGGGTCGCACTTGTAGACTTTGCCGGTTTCATTCACGTCTCCCGTCTGCAGCGGGGCCCCGACGAGCAGCCTGTGGGGGAGAGAGCAGCTCAGGGGA